GAACAGAGGTTGTGCGAGAGAGCTTGCAAGGGAACCTTCGTTTGTTTATTTGTATAGGCGCTGTGTTCCTCGTGGGGCAAATTAGAGCGAGCGTGAGTTGGTGAGTAAGAAGGCGTCGAACGCGTGGCGTTTGTGCTGTACTTGACATAGATGGCGCTTGCGTCAGCGGTCACTTCGAGATGAACGATTCGCATTGTGTCATCACGTCGGGCCTCGGAGAAAGGCTTCGGGCACAGCGGCTGGAGGGGTCGGCACTCGCAGAATGGCTTATTGCCATGGAAATGGCTCGCCTCTCATAAGCGCGCCCATGTTAATATTTATGCAAGTGGTGGAAGTGATTAGTGTCTTAGGCGCAAACATAAGCCGTTCTTTAAAATAAAAAATAAAACGGTGAAAAAGTTTGCGCCCTTTTGTTACGATATTCCAGAATAAATACGAGCACTGACCGATTTTAGATAGCTGCAGGAATCTATCTATCTATCTATCTATCTATCTATCTATCTATCTATCTATCTATCTATCTATCTACCTATCTATCTATCCATGAATGAAATGTTTAGTGATTCACATTTATATAAGAGTAAGAAGTCTCCATTCACGAATGAATGGAGACTGGACTTTGACAACTTCCGTCATATCCACGAAGTGAACGATGATGAGTGGGCGAAGCTACGGAGGTGAATGATGAGGGGCTGAAGTCACGCTCATCGCGGAGACTTCCAGCCACCAAAGAGTCTTTGCACGCAGGTAGAGCACACTGCGTACTCTATGTGATCTTGACTGGCGGCGGCAAACTGCCGCTGTAGAACGGCGTTGGCGCGGGATTGCTCGTTTCTGGTGCTGGGGATGGTGGTCGAATTGTTATCGAACCACAAGTGGTCGCAAACCTTGCAGCTGTGGCCGAAACTGCGATCCTGGGTAGCGATTCGCTTCTGGCGCTTGGCTGCACCATCCCTCGCCCGCATCCTTCTGTACCACCGAACCTCAACAGAGAGGAGTCAGAATTCTGGGAGGCGGCTCTGCTCGGAGGACCTTCTGGCCCAGTCATGGTCCGGTGTGCCAGGACAGCGGCCACGACCAATGGGGTCCAATGGCTGGGGACTCGATTGATTGATTGATATGTGGGGTTTAACGTCCCAAAACCACCATATGATTATGAGAGACGCCGTAGTGGAGGGCTCCGGAAATTTCGACCACCTGGGGTTCTTTAACGTGCACCCAAATCTAAGCACACGGGCCTACAACATTTCCGCCTCCATCGGAAATGCAGCCGCTGCAGCCGGGATTTGAACCCGCGACCTGCGGGTCAGTAGCCGAGTACCTTAGCCACTAGACCACCGCGGCGGGGCAATGGCTGGGGACTCTACCTAGTACTGTAGGGAAGCTGAGCCACTAGAGGTTGGTTACCCTTGCAACCTTTCTCATTTTAATAAATGTTTACCACGTACCACCACCACTTCAGGATCCGCTTGCCGGCGCTTCCGTGCCACCGCCCAATCGCGGGCTTTGAGCTCCGGGTTCGCTTGTATTTGTGCGAGTTTCACCGCCTCTTTGATCGGTGGCTTGTTGTTGACGGCGAGCCAGTGCCGCTTCGGCTTCTCGGGCTGTCACCTCCGAGTCTTGACGGCGAGTCCGGGCTTCAACCGGGGGCGAATCCAGCCACTCATTTTAAGAGAGCGGTCGCCTGAAGTAACATTGGAGACGGGGGCATGGTCTTGTGTTTTTTTTTACTAGCAGGAAACCCCCTTCATAGCATAAATACTGGTAATGTGTGCTCATAGTGGTTTCACTCATTAGTTCTAATTGGTGATAGACGGTGGACTAGATTGGTGGATATGTGGGATTTAACTTCCCAAAACCACCATATGATTATGAGAGACGCCGTAGTGGACGGCTCCGGAAATTTCGACCACCTGGGGTTCTATAAGGTTCACCCAAATCTGAGCACACGGCCGGGCCTACAACGTTTCCGCCACCCTCGGAAATGCAGCCGGGATTCGATCCCGCGACCTGCGGGTCAGCAGCCGAGTACCTTAGCTACTTGACCACAGCGGTGGGGCAGGTGGACTAGAAGCATTGAAGTGAGAAGAGGGTGGGAGGGAATCGCCCCTCCGGATCCGCCACTGGCTTCAACCGCCTTGCGAGCCCTCCGCTCCAGCGCCTTGTCTTCTTCGTTCATATTATTGAAGCGCACAGACTGACAACTGTTCAGAGAGGGAGACAGCTCCTTGGGTGTCACGTAGGAGTGGAGCGAGTGCCGCATAGCCATATCGGGGGCGCTCGAGTACTAGCGGCTTGCTACGACGCGGCAACAGACAAGCCTCGACCTTAAAAGGACTGTCTACACTCGGGTCATTAAGGGTAACTAGCTGGGTTCCCAGAGAAGGCAAGCGGCTTAGGGGGAGACAGGTGGGCAGATGAGATTAAGAAGTTTGCGGGTATAAATTGACAGCAGCAAGCACAGGACCGAGTTGACTGGCGGAACATGGGAGATATGCCTTTGTCCAGCAGTGGACGTAGTCAGGCTGATGATGATGATGACACTCGGGCAAATTTTCCTTATTGTGGCACGAATGAGAAGATCGTCCATCACGCCGGCTGCAATGAGCGTGCTTTTGTCCCATTAAAAACGATATATAATTTTAGCTTGATTTTGAAAGTCGAGGAAAATGACCGCTAGCGTCACCCAACAGCGATGTGGTAAATTTACTGGTAGGACGAGAAATCCCGGTAGATTGGCTCTTTTAAAAACAAACATGTATATCTTGAAATTGTATTTTGCGCACTTGAGGCAGCTTTAGGCTGCGCCAGAGACTGATTTCGGTGGCGCTGCCGGAGATGGGTTCGCTTGCCTGCAAACGGCGAAAAAACACGACCACGGTGTCCGCCGGTGCTCATAAGAACAAAAAAAAAACAGTGTGCGTGCCTCAAATGGCCATTAAGATATTAAGGTGTTTCAATAATAAACAAAACCTGCAGAAGCCTGCGAAAACCACGCGTGGTTTCAGTTTTCAATTTTCGGCAACAGTGCAATTGTCATCGCCTCCACCGACCAGTGTTGTGGACATTCATCCCACCGAAGAAAGAAGACCGAACACAGATCGAAAGAATCTGTTTTAGAATTTTCTATGCACTTTCCAAAGAAACCGCTGCAGGGTTAGACACTTCACATAGTACGCTTTTTATTGCGACACAAAACAGAAAAGCAGTGAAAGGGGGTAGACAGTATTTTTAAGGAGCTTCACCTCTAACAACGAAAAAGAAAGATAAAGCTGTTTTAAGCCATACTATAGTGTAATACTACGATGTTATTCTGAACTTGGTCAAAGTCCGCCATTTATCAGCCCTGATTGGCCCAGAGGGCTGCTGTGGTGGCTCCGATACTTTAGGGTGCTATAAAAGGAAACATATTCGACAGAAGTTTGTCTGGGTAAAAATTTTATTACCAGATTTTATTTCGATGACATATTGTACATGACATATTGTTTTCCCTTTTTAACCTGAATAATGATAGATGAAGTGAGCAAGTGCTATAAATTATCAGAGCGGCAACGTACAGCATTGCAACGGGTAAAACCGTATCTTTCGTACAGGCACGAGAAAAATAGAAAAAGAAAACGCTTACGCAAGCATGCTTTTATCGGACACTCTCGTATTGATACCCAAGTTTAAAAAAAGTAGTCGCACGTTCGTTGTGACCAGTGCACACGACTTTTAATATGAGTACCTGAAGTGTTATCGAAGCAGTGTTCGCTATCTGTCGTGCGATAACCGGAGCCAGAGGCAGGCGCGAAGTAAACATAAATACCCCGTTTCACGACGCATCATGCTCCTTATCACTTGCTAATTGCGTTGCGTTAAATCGAGACTAGCGCACCATGTACCTTTTGGCCAAACAGTTTTACTTCTGACGCAGAACTGCCGTTCAAATTTAGAAGGTGAGTGCGCTCTACGATCATGCTCCCTTTTATTAAATGAAATACCGCGCTGATCTGTCTCACTCGAACTCAGCCGAACCTCAATTTCCTCGTTTCCCCGCGCGCCCAACGAACCTTGGGGCAATGACGTTTTGGTTGGCTCGCAACTTGAAACGTAAGAGCATCCATATTTCAGGAAGGTTCGTTCAATGTACTCAAGCAGTACGATGTCCGTAGGAGTTACGGAGCGGCTGTGGTGGTTGTCTGAAAACCGTCGCGACTTTGCGGTCATTGACACGCCTTTTTATTATTTTCTGTTTCGATGAAAAAGCCGGCCGCCACTTTATCGAGACGAGGTGAGCGTTTGTGTGTGGCTGCCAAAATACGCGAGGACGCGCTTGTACTTGCGAGAACTGTGTGTTCGTCGGCAGGTGTAAAGAAGGAGTGAATGCTTGCGCCGTTTCTCTTTTCTGGCGTGGGCCGCTTCTTGGGCTTGCCCTGGCCCGAACAATGAACTCCGGTGTGCGAGGGAAACGAGAGGGGGCTTCCCCGAAGCGGAACGCGTTAAACAAAGGCAGCAGCCACAACAGCTGTGCCCGAGTACCCGCGTTGAGCGCTGTGTGATTGCTTTCCGCTAGGTCTGTGACTCAGATTGTCGAAGAAACGTCGCCGCATGTTTGCATCTTCCTGGAAATAAGACAGCGCCACCACTGAGGCAGGGTAAGCGAGGCACAGTGATTACCTGGCCAAACCTGCCCGTGCTTTCGGAGGAGCAAGACGGTCGAGCAGGGCTCCAAACAAGCCGGGCAAGCGGCCAACAACCGAGTTAGGAAGCCGTCAAGTGGCGCCGCCTGACAGGACGCGATAGAACCAGACGGCGGCGTCGTCGACCTCTCTCTCTTCTTGCCCGAGTGCGTTACTCCTGGAGGAGGCCATTCTCCCGGTTTTCACCAGCTGATTGGGCGGCGGGGCCCAGCGCGCCCGGCGATTGGTTTAATTTGTACCACGTGACGGCCGGGCGCGTGCGCCATTGGGCGTCGGCAGCAGGGGGCGCTAGTGACGTGACACCCTAGCAACAGGGGCCAGCCACAGCGGCCGGGGCAATAATGGTGGCCCAGTGTAGCGCAGCCGAAGCGGCCGAGCGTCCATGTCCGCGCTAGGCCTGGGTCTCTTGTTCGGTGGCGCGGTGGTGGAGCAGGCGGCGGTGGTTGGAGGCGGCCGCAAGCGGCGGTTATGAGTTCCCGGGAGTGCACCGCGATGCCGCTGTCGCGGACGCGGTCCCTGATCGCCAACATGAACGGCTCAGCGCCTTCGTCGGAGGCCGGCTACATCGAGAAAAACGCCGCCAACAACAACAACTCTTCGGCGCTCGGTGGAAACGGCGGTGGCAACGGGTCCAGTCTGCTGCTGCCGCCCATCAAGAGCCAGACCATCGCGGGCTTCAAGTTCCAGTCGAGCGTGCACAAGCTGTTCGACGTGGACCAGAACGGCGACTCGCCCGACAACAAAGCGGTCGCCGTTGTCGGAAGCGGCGGCGCGGGGAAAACATTGGTGGCCACGCCGGAGCAGGTGATGAAGATGTACATGCACAAGCTAAGCCCGTACGAGCACCACGAGATCTTCAACTACCCGCAAATCTACTTCATAGGCGCCAACGCCAAGAAGCGCCAGGGAGCGCCGGGAACCCCGAACAACTGCGGCTACGACGACGATCAAGGTTCGTACCTCCACGTTCCGCACGACCACATCGCGTACCGCTTCGAGATGCTCAAGGTGATCGGCAAGGGCTCCTTCGGCCAGGTCGTCAAAGCGTACGACCACAAGCAGCACCAACACGTGGCCCTCAAGATGGTTCGCAACGAGAAGCGATTCCACCGGCAGGCTCAGGAGGAGATTCGCATACTGGACTTCCTGCGTCGCCAGGACCGCGACAACACGTTCAACCTGATCCACATGCTGGAGCACTTCACCTTCCGCAACCACACGTGCATCACCTTCGAGCTGTTGTCCATCAACCTGTACGAGCTGATCAAGAAGAACAAGTTCCAGGGCTTCTCCCTGCAGCTGGTGCGCAAGTTCGCCCACTCGCTCCTGCAGTGCCTGGACGCGCTGCACCGCAGTCACATCATACACTGCGACCTGAAACCCGAGAACGTGCTGCTCAAACAGCAGGGTCGATCGGGCATCAAGGTCATAGACTTCGGGTCGTCGTGTTTCGAACACCAGCGCGTCTACACCTACATCCAGTCGCGCTTCTACCGAGCGCCGGAGGTCATACTGGGTGCAAAGTATGGCATGCCCATCGACATGTGGAGTCTCGGCTGCATCCTAGCCGAGCTGCTCACGGGCTACCCACTCCTGCCCGGCGAGGACGAGGCCGATCAGCTGGCCTGCATCATGGAGTTGCTAGGCCCGCCGCCTCAGAAGTTACTCGACCAGGCCAAGCGGGCCAAGAACTTCATCAGCTCCAAGGGCTACCCGCGCTACTGCACCGTCACTACGCTACCCGACGGTGCCGTAGTTCTAGGCGCGGGACGGTCTAGACGCGGAAAGCTGCGCGGTCCTCCGGGCTCCAAGGACTGGTCGAGCGCCCTCAAAGGTTGCGACGACCCCATGTTCGTGGACTTCCTCAAGCGGTGCTTGGAGTGGGACCCCGCGACCCGCATGACTCCGGCGGCGGCGCTGCGGCACGGCTGGCTCCGACGTCGGCTACCGCGTACGCCCCAGACCACGGCGTCGGACTCGACCACGGTGACCCAGAGGTCCTCCGTCTCATCCTCGAGGTCTGTGATCGCCTCCAAGGCGACGCGGCTTGGGGACGAGCTCGCGAGTACGCTCAAACTGCCGCAGATTGGCAATCCTGTGTCGTGATGGTGATTCCGGCCCCTATCCGGCTGTGCGTTCGTGGATTCCTCCTCCCCGGTTTCTTAAAAACTCGTCTACCAAAACGTCCCCTGCCACTCCTCGTCGTCCGGCTTACGATGACGTCAAATTGAGAGACCCACGGCTACTCGACCACTGTGTGTCAAAAAAATATGGCCTCGTGCAGTGTATTTGATCTCCCAGGGAGAGAGCTTCGGCGGCTTCAGCGGTTCTCCCCTGCGCTGTGCGGCGCCTTCAACGAACGTAGTGTGTTGTTGGGCGGTGGGTTTTGCTTCTCCGTTAATATTATTTTTTTTTTCGGGGTAGCCCGTCACAGGTTGTGGTTGCTGCTTAGTTTGGTGGTGTCATCCGAAAAGAAAAAAAAAAGTGACGCTTGCGCGGCGATTGTTGGTGATAAAATGACCCGCATCGGCCCGTGTTAAGTAGTAAGCGCCATCGCACCTCTTCGTCGTGGGTTTCCGCTACTGCGGCATCACCGACCAAGCACACCCGGCCGAGGCCTTCCCCGCCCTGCATCGGATTATGCACTACTTCATGTGGCCTCCCTCCCTCCAAAAAAACACAGCAACTTCGGACTAAAAGAAGGCTGCGCGCATACCGTGTAAATCGGGCAAGTCGAAGCAACAATCTCCTAATTACTCCGCTAGCACATTCTTCCTATGTCTTTTCTCTCTCTCTCTCTCTCTGCTGCTTTTTTGAGATCGAGTGAATTCAATCGTATAAACCAATTTACTATTCGCCCGTCAAAGGCTCGATTGTGCAGTGTGGGAAGTACCGGTTTTACACTATTTTGGTTTCCCACGTATTGCTGAGATAGTCGTATTTAAGAGCCGCGCGTATAATTATATTAATAATGCATTCTTTGTAAAAAAATTCTACAAAAAATTCACTTTTTTTCTCCCTAGCTTTTATGTCGCTGTTGCGGAGTTGTTTTTTGAGTTGCCTGCCCGGACCTTGTTGCGCATCTATTCTTGTCGAGTGCTGTATTGTTTTCCTGTACAAATGTGTTTTTTTGTGTGGGGATTTCAGTCAGGGGGAGTGTTTTTTTTTTCTTCCTGTAGGCGGTTCCCCCAAACTTTATTTCATATACATAAGCATGTCTACGAGGGCCTCGCCCCTGTTTTGACCTCATTTGAACTCTTGCATGGCACACTGCCGTTTTTATTTAAAGCCCCATTTTTTATAACGTTATTTTTGTTCCCGCTTATTCACGACGAACTTCCTCGCGGGGCTTGAAAGAGGGACGTCAGGTCTGCTAAGTGCGGCGTACTGATGGTTGTTGCGATCCATTTCCCGATCGGAAAGGGTGTTGGCAGTTTTAAAAACAACCGTTAACGTAAAGGCTTCTGCCGCGTACGAGGGAAAGAAACACAGAATGGAGTCCGCAGATCTGTGATATTTTGTGTGTACTGACATGTAGTGGGGGGGTTGGTTCAGGCCAAGGAGGATTCAAGGAAAAAAAAAAATGCTGTAGTGGAAGTCTCTCTCAAGTGCGGCCAAGAAACCGCCATCTTACCAGTGCCAGTATGAAATGTCAGCGTGTAGCTAAAAAAAAAAAAAAACGTAGCATTTTCCTCACACGTCCAATCCATTTGATCCGCGTAATTTATTGGACCAGATAGCGCGTGACGTGTGCCTCTGTGTTAGGTTTCCTTCAGAACGGCAACCTAATTAGAGATCCTGGATTAGCGCAATCTGGAACAGTGATCTGCTATTTGATAACTAGCTTAAAGTTAACACTAACAAAGCAAACCCGCGACCAGTAACGAGTCAAAATCGGAGGGAGGCGTACCATGGCTTCACCTTTGCCGGTGTTTGGAGGAAGAAGAACACGCTTAATTCCACGGCGCAGTTTCTACCGGTAATGCTTCGCGACTTCCATTGCAGCATTAAAAAAAAAAATCCGCCTTGGTTCAGGCACTCACTCGCTTAACGCGCTAGCCCTAAAGCTAGCGCCAAACTAGAACCAGCCACCCCGCAACATTTTTTGTTTTATTTCGCGCGTCGCATCTTTGTTCTCGTCTGCGTTCATTTCATCTTTCTCACCGAGGCATCGCTGGGGTTGGTTGCCCGCCGTGGCGGTTGCACGGGCACTTTTTTTCCCCCTCTGTGCTTCGTCCGCGAACCCCTCTTTCCGGTTATATTTGGGTTGGAGAGCGAGCGTGGAGGGCAAGCGGGCTCGGCTACGTTTTTTTTTTACTTCTTCGTCTTCTTCATCGTTTCCTCCTTGCCGTGAGGGCGCTGCCTCCTCTCCACTGAAGCTTTCGAGGAAGAAATGAAAGATGGCAAAAAGAAACATTTTCGCGTCGCCGCTGTCGGTGCATCGACTGCTCTGGAAACCTTCTAAAGGGCGCATTGTCGCCTAGCCTTTAGCGCAGCGGCTTCCCCCCTTCTCGGTCACCTATAACAGCTGCCGCGTCCTTCTTTCTTTATTTCTCTGAGTGCGAAGAAAGAGGGAAAGAAAATGAAATGTAGTGAAGAGTAGTGAGTTCACCCCCCCGAGAAGCGGGTCTTCTCGATCACGGGTGCCATCGCCGCCATGTTGGATGTGTGCGTTCGCTCCAAGCTTGAGTAGGGCAAACGCTGGAGGCGCCAATTCGCTTTTGTTGCATCACTAGCGCCTTTTCTGTTTCCTTCGCCTTCGTGTGTGTTGCCCGTAGTATCTTTTATCCAGCAAATCTTAGTCTTTATTTGAAGCTATGTTGGACTCTCTTTTGTGTGACGCAGGATAAAAATATTGTATCCTCTTGAGTCCGTAGGTTCACTTTCGATTGCGATCGGGGTTAATATGGGTGGGATTTCTCGATCGCGATTGATCGGTGCACTCACTCACTCAATGAGTGAGTGAAACTCATTAAACAATTGTATCGGGCCAGTTGGGCGCTTGTGTGTTCTGTGTAATAGTTGCTGCGCTTCCTACCAAGATGAGTGAAACAACTTTATTAGGTCCAAACGCGGTCCGAAACTCATCCAGATCGAGCGTTCTTTCTTTTGTTTTATTTGTGTGGCATGGAAGGAAAATCGCCTGTCCGTTCGATTCCGATGGGCGCCGATCGGGATGGGATTTCTCGATTGCGATTGAACAACAATCGCCTCCGCGCGGTCCAAAACTAACCTGGATCGAGTGTGGCGCAGACGCTGGCGAAATCGCGATTTGGTTTCAGATCCGAGATTGCCATGCATATACACACATCTCGATCGGGCGTCATCGCGGTTGAAAGTGACAGTGTAGCTGCACCCGATGTCCGGATCGGTCCTTATAGCGATCGAGAGAGTGGTTTGACCTCGGTGATGCACCTCCATTTTTTTCTTTGTTTCGGTTACGTCTTCACTTTCGAATTCGCCAGCCCAAAAAAAGAACACTATGAATGACAATACTCAGCTTTCTTCTCCTCTTTCTGTTTCTCCTAGTTTTGTAGTTACGGCGGCTTTCTCAAGTGAAACCAAAGAAAGGGTTATTTCAAATGAATAAAAAAAAACAGTGGCAACGAATGCTCAAAGTAAACAAGAAGAGAAAGGAATGTGTGACATCTTGGCTCCGATTGCCAACTTCCTTGCCCTCTTTTTCTTATTTTCTTTATTGCACATACACAAAGCGCGAAAATGTTCACGAAAACGCATCTCCATCACTCTTGAAGGAGGTGGGAAAAAAAATATGAAGGAACTACTGCCAATGACCTGTGATAACTGCAGACTTATACTTCTCAGTGCAGTGCGTGCACCCCCCCACCCCAATTCTCTTTCTGACTACGCGCCATTTTGTTGCTCTGAATGCACGGGCAATTCTTTTCCTCTCAAGTACAACAACGTTCCAATGGTTGAACTTATAAATGAATTCTGCGAGGCTGTTTGGTTTTGGCAGTTGGTTGGTCGCAGAGTTGGGTCATTATGGTGACGGTCAAGAGTTGTCGGAAGTGACCTGAACAGTTTTAACCTCACTTGTCTCAAGCGACACTACCTCTGCTTTTGTTTGCTTTGCGACTGGAGGACCTCTGGCACTGCAAGGCCGCAGCAGGTCTGCGAACCTTGAACAAAAAGCAAGGCTTTCCAAGACTCACTTATAAAATTGCATAGTTGTTTCTTCTACATCATTGCCCCTATATTCAAATTATATTCAAATATTCAAATTATAAAGCTTTTGCAGCTGCCTGTCCTGAATAGTTTGGCGCAAGCCTACTCAAAATAGCTTTCGATTGCTCTTTCGGGTAGTAGATGAGAGTGGGTCGCCATCACGTCACGGGTAGTTGAATCAAAGCGGGTGTCATCCGATGCCGATATTTCAACCCTTGGTTTCCATTTTGCTGTGACCTCCCCCTGACTGGTAGTTTAGAGAAGTGGGACTGAAGCAACCGATGCCAGTCAAGGGGGTTCCTCCTTGTCGTGCTCCCCGAGTAATCGTGTCTAGTTAAATCGAAAGTAGATGAACTTGTTCGATAACTGTGGTTGTGAGATAGTGGTGCTCTTAGAAAAAAAAAAAAAAGAAATGGCCATTTTAGTTTTGTGTAGGTATTCTCAGTAGATCTGACTTGGGAAAACACTGTTGTTTCGTGTTCTGATAGGCGTAGGTTGTCCAGCGCGATAAGCTGTGCGTTATTGTTTGCACAGTGACTGCGGACTATTGTAAAATCTTTTTTTTCCTCGTGTTCACGCCTAGTGCTAGGAGAGATCGCAGCGTGAAACATATTGTCTTTTTTTAGGATTGTGACATCTTACTCTATGTTTCCGTAGAAGTCGGACTCTGTAGATACTCATGTTTCCCCTTCCTTTTTTTTTTATGCAGATAAAAAATTCATCACAGCCATTGCAGCTTTGTGAGGCCTCGGGTACTGCTTGCATTTTCTTTTCTTTGGCACCACGGCTTGTGGGACATCTTTCTAACAGAATGGGAAGTAAAAAGAATAGAACAGGTTTACGGAAAGAAAGAGTGGTAAAGTTGACCTATACCCTCCTGCTTACATTATTGAAAGTTGATTAAATTCTAGAAAATCTTAAGGCTGCAACATTGTTCAACCTAACTCAGAAAATTTCATAGTAATGTTCATCTTTAAGGTCGGCAGAAATAAACATCGGAGCATTGACAATGTGCGACTTCACCTTATTACAAAATATGGCTGTCGTTCATTGCTCACTATCAAAATGCTCTGCAGCTGACGTACGTGGTTATTGGGCATGAATCGAGCCAGTCCATCACTCTGTAGAATTTAATACGACATTGAATTGGCAGTCAATTCGCATCTAACTGTGATTTCCTAACTGCAGAGTTTGCTCACTTAATAAAGCCACCTGCCGGTAAAGCTTTGATGCTGGGCTTGAATCCCACGTTTAGATAAATTTGTTCACTACTAGGGAGCTTTCTTTCTGAGAAATCTGTGTAGACATCCTTTTAGCTTTCTGCTACATATGGATGACAGGACAGTTCTCCCCTTATCCTGAATTTAATTCGGTAGGAATGTGTTCTAGTACGTCATGGGTGTCTGCAGAATTTTGTCTTGGAAGGGTGCAAACCCATGTGGCATTGCAGTATGGCTTGGCCTCGTTCACACTTCAGTTTTGTTAACGTCGCTTCCTAGCGCAACAGAGTGGAACACAGGGCTGTGACACGAATCTCATTCACCTGCAAGCTTCACGGAATGCACGTTTGGCAACTCTGGTGTAGCGAGCGGTCGGTGACCGATCGACTGTTGGCAGACTTCCTGGCAGCTACAAAGCGGCATATACGTGTGCTAGACCGCCAGAGAAGACGGCCGCAAGGTTGAAGACCTCGGGCCGACTTTTGATTTGTCAGCTGTAGCTCTTTAAGGAACACCCCTCCTTCCCTTCTCTGCCGGCCCGGCATTGGATCCATGCCCATTCGTATGGAGACCCCTTGCCGGCACATCAGACGAGCCGCTGCTTGGAGTTTAATTTGTATGGCAAAGGGGTGTTGGGCCATGATCCCTTTTGGGTGTGGTTGGGCCTCATCCTTAGCTTGATGCGGAAGGAGCCTTTCTGTGGCCCAGTGTTCCACATTGCCCCCTTGTCCGGAAATGCTGGCAGGTCCTCTTTACCCTCCCGTGGTGTTCTGCCTTTTGATGTTGGCGTTGCGCAGGAAAGCTCGGGGTTCAGGGAGGGGGTTCCTATTTATAGCTGTGCCACAGCGTTTTGCTTTTTTGGTTGAGGCCAAGTTTTTCGCTTGTGCTGGGACCACATGCTCTTTTTCTTCCGAGATCTGTGCGTGACCTGCTCACGCACTTTTGCAGGTCTCACGTTCCTCGAGCGGGGTGAGCCGTGTTAACTCATGAACAACACTCGTGCTTGTTGTAAGTTGTGATGTTACCAGCGTTAAGATGCGCATTTTGTACTGGTGTTGTACTCTGTTTCTCGCGAGCTAAGTCCTTCATGGTCGTGCGGAATGGTTGTGCTTTGCGAGAGGCTTTTTAGTACGCTGTACTGTCTCTTCATGATCACTCACTCCGATTAGCGCTGTAAGAAAATTTGTTGTCATTAGCGTAGGTAGCATCGTGCAGAGATGTGAAGCATCGTCTGAAAACTGAGCAATGCTTTTAAAAAACATTGGCCCTTCTCTGATGCCACATCTATCTGCACTTTTTCCTTTTAATGTCTAGCGCCTATTTCAGGTCTTCTCACTCTGATTGTTTAAATAGGTCTCTATTCACAGCTATTTTTATCCCCTGATGCTAGCTAGCTACTTGTCTGGTAGCGTCGAAACATTAGACTGTCACTATTGTTTCTGTCAGTGAACGTACACTAACTTGTGGCAACTACTACAGACTACTTGGTAGTAGTAGACACATAGCTTTGAATGTGCGTGGGCCTTAGTGCTGCACAAATGAATTATTTAGGCACGTCTCTCATGAACAGCTGTCATAGACAAACTTCCCATCCTTCAAGTAAAAGAGATTATTTTCTCGAGCTTCTGAATGGTTGAAGAGCTGATCGATGCACTTTTTGTATTAGAGCAGCCAGCTTATTCTTAAAATTATGTGCAGCTCATGAGAACTAAAGTGCATTGCATTGCGGCGTATCAAGCCGCCAAACGATGGTTTATGACGCACTGACTAGAAGCTGAGCTTTGAAACATATGATCATGAAATGACCCTTTGCAGTGTACCAGTGCTACAAGTCGTGCTATGGCAGGCACCTGGGTGCAGACAAGGCTGTTTAAAAACAATGAATATAATGTGAGCAACTTGTTTCGTGCAGATTTGCTTAGTGACAACATGCAGTTAATGCAGTTGTGAAGCACGGTAAAGCAGTCAAAAGATGGGCCGTGAACTGTAATAGCCATCAAGATAATCTCTTTGCTATTGCAAAGTGAATGCAGCTCTTTTGTAGCGTCAAAGTCCTGCTGTAACAATATCTCGGACTGTGTGAAATCAGATACTGGACACGTATGGCAACACAACCTCTGCGAAATTTCCTGTTTTAAGTGTAAGTGGGCGCATCGCAAAATTTTCAGAAAGACAGACGCCCACATCGCAACTGCTCTTAACATTGCAGTGCGTATATTGGATAACTGGTAGTTGTATGGAGGAGGTGCCATGGGAATGGATTAGCAATTAAGGAGTGACTTAAACCCTGCATTCACAAATGCTCCTCGACTCGAATTTCTTCATTCACTAGGCAGAGTTGAGCACTACGCCGCTGCTCAACTGAAAATGACGCTTCACTTCTCGGTAATCTCAACAGATTATCGCTGATATGCAGTGATTTTCTCTGCCTAAAGGCAACCGCTCCCATCAACTTTCTCAATTCAAGGTGAAGCGTGAGTGAAGGCATGTTTTAGAATACGGGGGTAAGTGTGAAAGTTGGAAGGAATCAAATGGAATGTAATTGCACAAGATGGTAGCAGTTTCATATCGTTGAGAGAGGCCTTTGTCTTGGAGTTGGTATCGGCGTATTCCATCTGTGAGATGGTTGTAACAGGGTAAATTCGGGAGCTCTGTGAAATTCCACATCGGCCTTGGTGTAAGCAAAGGAGTACAAGTTATAGATTGTGCCACTCACGCAAATTCATGTGCCACTACGTTTTCTACGCTCTACCAGTAGCCGCCAGCCTTCATGCCTCAAGGCACTTGCCGTCTTGTATACTAGCACTGTTAAAAATGGCCAGTCACGTGTGTCCCCGGGCCAGATACCAGGTAGTTGCAAGCTTTGTACATTTCGCGCATCCTCCTAGCTGTGTACGTCTGCCGACACTGCACATCGATCAGCTCTGCGCGTTTTATTGCACTTGTGATGGTGCACCTCGCCGTATTTTTCTTTTTCTTGTTTCGTCCGCTAGCTGCAGACGTGCGGTGCATGCATTTGCTAATAAAACCAGTGGTATTAAGACGCCGTGCAGCTTAGGTGGTCCTGTGCCAGACTTCAGGGACCCTTGTGTGGCTTGCTCAAAAACCGCCATCTCTCTCCCCGCAGTACGCGTTGTTGGGGTAGCATTTAAATAGCTCTTGTCCTGTTGAAGAGGAGAGGGGGTCGATGTGTGTTGCCCCGGGCAGCGGAAGCAGCAGCTGAACTGTTGTATAAGTTGTCGTGCAGCCAGCGCACACTGATCTCACCAGGGCTGCCGTCTTCCAGGGGTGGGTTCTATTTAGGAAGGGTGTGCACCGGGATGTGGTGGTCCCGGGTCGACTGACAATGGTTCCGGAACACTGCTTCGCCCTCTTCTGCGGTTGTTATCGACAGCAACCTCTCTTTGTTTCTTTTAAGGGACGATAAAAAGATGGATCTTTCTCTCGTTTCAGTGAATAAAGCTTTTGCAGTACCGATTGCAGTGGGGTTGTTGCGAGAATACGCTTGGGTGAGACAGAAAATGTGCGAGAAAGAGAATGCACTGTGTCGTCATTGATAGTGGCCTGCTAGGGACCTGCCCAATTCTTTAGTGGTAAAAACAAGCTACTTTGTATTGAGAAGCTATAAACTTCAACATAGCGGGTTTGAGGAAATTTCGGTTAGCCAGTGTGGCCAAAAGTACGATCAAGAAAGGGTCAGAACTTTGTGGTGTTACACTGGCATGCATATGCGAAAGTTCTAGTGTCGAGTGCATGAAATGGTTCATTTTCTTTTCTGATGACAAATTCATAATCGTGAAATTAATGAAAATGGATTCCTCCGAATGTTTTATCAGTCTAACTGATTTAGCGCTTGCTTTAGTGTTTACTTTAAAGTTTTTGTTGCTTTGCAAGTTCCACTTTGCTTTCCAGAAAGACTCTCCAGTTTTTATTGGCAGCTGTTTCGGTCTTGTCTCCTTCCACCTTGGAAAGAAGAACTGGTGAGGATAGACGCGCACATCACCAGTCTCTCTGGGGGCTCTGCGGGGGCACTTCTCGTCTGCGGAAGGTCGTCGTGTTTTCATTGGCCGCAGACTTGCTCAGCAAATCTGTCTCCGAGAACTGTGTTTGAAAGATGGAGCAAGGGCACTCTGTCTGCGCGGCTGTCTCGGCAGCTGGGCTGCCGCATTTGGAACAGAGAAGCAGAGCAACCGTTTAGGGGTCACATGCATCCGCTAACACTCTGCATTCTGCTGCGAGGTGCTTCCCTCTTTTTCTTTTTTGTGAAGCACTGCACTCTTCTTAGTGTTCTTGCCAAGATGGTGTGACAGGGTGTGGCCTGACCTGCTGCTTTGTTTTCTTTAACTCTCTTCCGCGGTTGTTGCTGGAGACACAAATTGCAGTAGCTGGTACGTAAAATTGGCAGGCTCATTTCATCATCCATACAACATAGGGCACTTGGTTCCCGTGGAGACGTCAGAGATATTGTCGCGGAATTAGCTCTTGCTTTTCTCATCGTTCTTTTTTTTTTCTCTTAGGAGCATGTCGTGCGTGTGTAATGCGGGCATGTGCAGCTTCGGGTTCAACGTATGCGATGCGTCTTGTGGGTGTTTGTTAACAGGTACGCTTTTGCTCGTCACCTACGTGCATTTGTGAGCTGTTGTAGTATCTTGAAAATGAAGGGTCGACGCGGTTGATGCAAATGGTGCAGGCAAAAAAAAAAAAATAGACACCTTATAGCGCAGCTTAGGAATCTCTACATCCGAAGAGCCACAGTCCTGGTGATAGAATTGTAATTATATTCATTACATGCTATCATTTCAATTGGTACGTATTTTTCAGTTATAATATTTGCCGTAAAATTTGCGCTAATTCGCCGAAGTGCATGGCTGATAGTTACACATTTGTGTAGCAGATAAGAAAATGCAACAATGAACATACCTGCATGTTAATTAGTAATCTGCCTGGTCAAAGTACTAAGGAAAGTTGCTATTCTTTGTCTCTATCATCCAATAATCTAACTTTTCAATGAACGGAGTTCTCCCTGTGTAGTTTGAATTGCGGCTAGCCAGGGCTCGCAATCTCGCCTTAAGGGCTGCAATGAGTGCCTACTGCGCGACTGCATCACTCGCGACGACCCAGACACTTGTTAGGGACCCATAAGTTGGTGCGTGGACCTCTCTGCAACACGCCGCACCGCTTGTACGGTCTCGTGTTGGGCCTCGACACCCTTCTAGGAGCACCCCGCTCTCCCCGAGGGTGTCTGTGGCATTGTTGAACTTTCTGTTCCTCTTACTCTAGTGTTCAAATCTTTAGGTCTCGTACATGTCTGTGTACCACTCGGGAGGCAGGTGTCACACGGTAATTGTGTGCTTGCGCTTTGCTCCCTTGTGTCTTAGACTGAAGCCATTGCACTGTGGTTTTGCACACATTGAGTGTGTGCTTTTTTTTTTTTTGTCTCTATCTCACGGTCGGGACTTGGGAGGAGAGGAGACGACGACGCGCTCTCTTTTTAGTCAAGTGCGGGTGCCGCGTGGATTCGTGGCACCTTCAGCCATTGGTGGCGTCGATGTTGTCTGCCGAACCCTGTACAGAGGACGCTTTTGTGAGTGCTTTAGTGAATTGTGGAAATGTTGGCGGCGCGTTGGACCGCCCCTTTAATCTTTTTTTTTGCAAACATAGTGGCAGTGGAAATGGCTTGTGTGTGCATGTATGTGTGTGCGCGAGTGCATTTTAGGGTGTGCACGGTTGCTATGTGAAACTTCCAGCATTGTACATATGTGGACTGGAATTAAACAATGTGTGATGAACTTTTACACACCTAGGCTTTCTTCCATAGTCTTTATTTGGCTTCTGCGGCTGCTCAGGCGACTTGGTGGCTTGGAGCCAGTCTGCCTGCTACGCCTGCCAGTAAAATGTGCATGTTACATGGGAGAGTGAGCAAGGCAGTGGCTGACTGTCCTGAAATTGAAAGAGCTTTGTAATTGGAAGAAGTGCGAGCTCTAGTGCTCAAACAGCCCGCTTGTAGATCACATGACTACACTGGGATCTCGGTATATCATTGTGACTTGCTGGAACAAGCATGTTCCTGATTACAGATCACTTACGAGGCTTTCAGAGAAACTTTTGTATGGTGTGTCCACCCACAGTACAAAACAGGGTATTATAGTTTTAAAGAACCTTTCGTTTTTTGTTAAGTTTTGATGCGGGAAATAAGGTGTTCTACCTTTGAGCTTCTGTTGAGTTCAACTAATGCACGAGACTAGTGTGGCGTGAATAATGAGAAATGAAGTGCGAATTAAGCCAGAATTGTATTGAGCTAGTTCCGACAGACAGTAAGGGGCACCAAACATTTGACATGCTCGTGCGTCGATGTTCCCTTGTCATCCCTATCCATGTGTTGCTGTAACAACTGTAAAATTCCTGTTCCCATTTGATTTGAAATGCAAAGAATCTATGCTTCAGTAGGTCATGCATTCACATTCGCCTCTTATGAAGTTAGTCATAGCGGGCTTGCTGTGGAATAAGTACATTTGCGGATTTAAAAGTAAAAGAGGGTACTTATTTACTTCGTGAGGCATATTGAGTGATTGGTTACTCTATTTTATTTGCGCAATGCTAGGACAATTGCTGCATCTCCTTTGAAGTATCTAGAGAAGAGACAGGCCTAATATCGTGTAGTTTCTGAACCACTAAACTTCATGGTAAAGTACATTGAATGCCAGCTGAGGAGATTCAGTGATAGCAGTTTACACAAGTAGACATATTTAGTGCTCCCTGGTTCGTTCGTAATGGCCGTAAATGTGCCCGGCTTTTCACCGTACGTTCTGATCCACAATTCGTCTCAAAGCATATAAAGCAAAATATCCATGCTGGCTGTTTTTGGCTTTCTCAGATTTTGTCACTTAGAATTGTGATGTTAAGCAAGATGTTGTAGTTTGTACTTTTAACCATTCCCCTGGATTTGTTGAGTGCATAATTGCAACTGCTGTGGATTACCAGCAAATATAGTGTATGCTGAATTTCTGGTTATTTGAGAACTATCTTTGCGTCATTTCTGACACTGCAATAATTGATTTTGCCTCTGTACGTCAAATCTAAGAGCAATTTTGAGTGCAAGCTTAACGTCACAGCCAAGACGGCCGTGTCCCAGCAGTATCCCTATTATTAAACCCTTTGTATGTGGGTTGGCAGTTTGCGTCTAGAAATTGTGGGGTCATTTTGGTGACGGAACAGAACCTGCGACTTGACAATGTCCAAGTAACAGCTATCCATACCCAGCTACTTGTTTCTGAAAAATCGCTTATGCTCACCCTTTGAGTTTTGGCTTCTTGATCGGCCGTAAATGCAGTAATTTGACCTGTGGTGAGAACAAGAAAATTTGGCGTGTTTCTTCACATCCAGAACACATACTCTGTGGTCTAGAGTCAGCGTGCGAAGTGTTTGTTAGCAAAGTGAGTTTTTGACGTGCCGTACAAAGTCACGGGAATGTACACAATAAGGCACCAACAAATTATACAGCGATTTTCAGTTTTCACGTTGCACTCATCACTCAAACACCCAAAAGCTTGGTGCTATTTGATATCCCAGTCAACTGCTTCACAGAAGCTTCACTTCCCGTACATTCAAATGTGCTTGTTGGATTAACATTTCACTTGGCTTTTGCCACACCGCACCACACATGCCACCGCAGGCTCTTTCACTGAGCGCCACGTTGCCGTAAGGCCTATGCTTTTTTTTTTCTGCGCCAACACTGACGGCAGCGCCACCGCGTGTTGGCCCGCGTATGACGTCTTGGCACAATATACAAGACCTACAGAAACATTGCACGTACGTCAGTGACGGCATTTTGAGGTACAATTTTCAGCGACTTCTCACTGTCTCCCTGGTGGACAAGCTAGTCGGGACTAGGCGTATTTTTCGCCGTACTGGTCGTACAGCAGAATGTTAGCCTTGATGACGTCGGGAGTATCTACTCGCGTCACGTCAAAGTACGCCGTTTTAATGTATGAAATGCGTGGCCTTTGCTGTGTTTCTGTAGAGGAACAGGTCGACATGAAAGGTACACCTTTTCACTTACCGGCTGTGCAACACAATGGCGACCCTGATGACGTCAAAAGTATTTCAGCGACGTGGTGTACGCCATTTTGGTGTCGAAAATGTGTCGTCTTGTGTCTTGCTAGAGCGGTCAATGTGCGGATTTGTTCCTCTTCTGTATTAGAGTTTAAGATTGGCGACGCGCACCTTTGCGGATATCACGGAGGTTGAGGTGAAAGAGCAGCTTTTAGCTGTACTGATTTTGCAGCAAGATGGCGGACGCGATGACGTCAGGAGTGTTTGTGTGACGTAAACGTGCAACCTTTTGTTGTACGGATTCGCAGGTTTCTATATCGGCAGAATAACCTAGGTCAAAAAGTGGCTTTTCACCGTACTGGCCGTAAAACAGTATAGGAAGCTTTATGACGTCAATTATCGCTCTACTTAAGGCTCCGGTCAGGGTATGGTGGCTTCGAGTAGAGCACGAGAATGTATTCTGCTTTCAAGCCCTTGCAAGCAGTCACCGGCCTGTTTTCTTTACGCCTTCCTCGCCCAATCTGCGCCCTTCTATTTTAATAAGCGTAAACATGGGGTAGGTCACGTAGACCTTGCAACGTTCAGAAAGAACGCGCATGCTAAAAAAAAAGCCCGAAGACAAAACAGAGATGTTTGACTTTGCGTGAAAAGAAAGAGAAAAAAAAAAGAAAGAAAGCAGTGTAGGCGCAGTGCAAACGGAGCATATCGCAACACTCCTTTTCCAAACGCCAGCGTGAGTTAAAGGCTGTTGTCCTAGACGTGAGCGTCAGCGAAACAAACACGAACGTTACTAAGCCCATAGAATGCAGCGTTAGTGCACTGAGCTGCTACTTGTGCAACCGTCTTACGCAGACGGCTAGCTGGCTCAGCGCAGCGCCAGCCAATTATAAAAGCGAGGGTGGCTTCACTACAGTGTTTGTTAGGACAATGGTTAGCTCTTTTTTTTTTTTTGCTGTCTGCTTGGCTGTAGTGTATTATGTCTTCAGCAGTGACGAGCACCGTTGCGAAGTTAATTTCAGATGGCCTCAAACATTGCCTCTAATGATCCCCGCTTTAAAGGGTCCATAAACAAACCCTTAAAAGTACACACAACGAGCGGAGGACACTAGTGCAAAATTATGGCCCCGTTTTTTTTTTTGACACAATGTTGACGAGAACTAACAGACTGCGATGCCGAGGATAGTATAGGTGATGCGGCTGCGGCGGCTGCATTTCCGATGGAGGCGGAAATGTTGTAGGCCCGTGTGCTCAGATTTGGGCGCACGTTAAAGAACCCCAGGTGGTCGAAATTTCCAAAGTCCTCCATTACGGCGTCTCTCATAATCATATGGTGGTTTTGGGACGTTAAACCCCACAAATCAAATCAATCATCATTAGTATAGGTGATGTGAAAAGATGGTGTGTGCCGCCTTTTCGACGCAATTCGTGACGGCAGCGGTCCGTTCACGTGACGTCATAAGGAAATAAGCTCCTGATTGGCTCATAGGAGGAATATCAGTTGTGAATTGTCACCTTCACTTGCGTTGCCATGTGTACTTGTGCGCCCATTCCGCCTTGTCTGGCATGTCCACCGCGCGCGACCTACCGATTTCACTTTGTGCGTTTTCACCTGAGCCAGCGGCCATAACAGTGTGTGGCCGAACGAGCGCGATATCCTGATAGGCTCAGATGGCATAGTTCAAGTGATTTATGAAGAAATAACATGCCAGAAGGTTATAACGCCTGTAGCAAGAGTAGTGAAGGCGCCGAAGAAACCACACTCTCATATATGAATTCGGAGTGGTTTACGGGTGAAGGTAACTTAATAGTTACTCCGTACAAACCGGAGGGCACAGAAAAAGGTCGGAGTTACACGAAGTCCAGCGTCATACGCAGTAACATCATGTTTTCAGATTCGTTGGCTTGTATGCCCCATTTAGAGATCTAACAAAGAGGGCTTCACTATCCGTGGTGCTCTGGTTTATTAGCCGGTGGTCTTTCAATCGCACCGTGTTTCGAGCGCGTCTCGTTTGTAAAAATAATAAGAAAAAAAAAAGAATGCTGTTGTGTCTCTTAAGAGCCAATTCCGGGATGACGGCGTATGTAGGTCTCTGCTGCGGCTACAGTAGGCTCCTGTAGAAAGAAGAAAAAGAGAAGACACCGACATCGTGTGTCCGTGTCACCGCTCCATTTCCCGAACGTCCCGGATTCACCGCGGGGGCCGTCGCAAAGCAAAATGGAAAGCCGGTCTCAACAGTGGTGACCGGCCCGCCAGCTGACGGCGAGGGCACGCTACTATGACCGCGGGCCGGCGTAACTGGAGTGTTACGTCCGCGCTCACCGAAGCCCGCCCTGGGTCAATGACGCCACCTAGTGCCGCACCCTCTTTCCACACTTACGTCTTTTCTAGCCCTTTCAGCCCTGGATTTTTTATTTTAGTCAGATACACTTTTTGTGTGCGTTTTTCTAGTATTTAGGAGCTCAGAAGACCAAAAACGAAAAATTGAGCCACTGAAACAAGTATTTTCGGATTAATTAAAGTGGCATCAAATTAGGTCATTAGGGCCCTGTGATTGGAAAATGAAAAAAGTGGCTTATTTTTTTCTGTCAATCAATAGTGCACACAAAATGGAAACCAACGTCTTACTTTTCAGCCTAAAACTCACTGAAACAGCTTCGGTACGTCATCCCGAAAGTGGCGCTTGTCCGCCTCAACTTACGCGCCTCGGCTTCACGGAAGACCTCGGTCAGGCTTCTTCTTCTTTGTGGCTGCTACCT